ATATAGTATCCAATTTCAACACACTTCTAATTTTTAAATTACCATTATACATCTTTCAATATTTCTTTTTTTTCCAGGGTATTCGTCACTTATTACTCAATTATTTATAATAATTCCTTTGTTACCATCATCAATTAAAATGCTATTTATAAGTGCGCTAAAATAAAAAATAAACACAATGATTAATATGACTTAAAACTAAACCAATTTAAAGACAGGAAATCCTCACCTCATTAAGCCTAATATTCATACTCGTAAAAATACCCTTATAATAAATGTATCTTCTTAAAACATTAATATTACCATTATCAATATTAAAATGTCAACCAAAAAGTAAATTAAGATAAAGCGGATTATCTAAAAAGGTTATTCCCAAACTCATTCATCTTGTAAGATAAAAAAGAAATAAAAAAAAATACCTACACCACAATATAGCAACATAATCTAAGGTAAAAACCCTGGCGTCATTGATTTCTCAAGTGGGTTCCATTATCTTCAGCCATCAAATTGATTCATTCAGAGTTTTCAATGTTAATATTTTCAACCATTTCAGTTAGATTAGCCTGTGGTTCTTCAGCATTGGCCGGGGCTTCAGTTGTGTTGCTTTCAGGAACACTTTGTTTATTTTGCTTGTGGCACTTGCCATGGCCAAAACGGCCACCGTGACGTCCCTTTCGGGAACATTTGCAATCACATTTGTTTTTATCATTTTGCTTATCTTTGTTCGTACCTTGTTGTTGTTCCTGGGTCTCGTTTGGTGGTGGAGATGGATTGCGACCAGATTCAATTGTGTTGTTGGTGTTGTTGTCAGACTCGTCGGTTGTCAAGTCAATGGTCCATCGGGCCCAGAATTTGCCTTTGTGTGGACCATGCAGACCGTGACGTCCACGATGGCAGTGCGGTCTACCGTGACGGTGTGGTCCGTGGTGGCCATGATGTCCATGAGGACCGTGATGACCATGGTGCATCCCATGCCCATGATGTTTACCGTGTCCGTGATGCTTTCCATGTCCATGCTTACCAAACATGCGTCCGCACTTCCCATGGTGTCCATGATCGAGTTCATGGCCATGTTTTTTATGTTTGTCCGACTGTAGATATTCAACAAACATTCTTACTAACTGTTGTTTTTCACTATCGAGAGAGGAAATCTCACACATATTTGGACCGGTATGTTTGCAATGACCTCGCATTTCGAGAAAAAAGTTACTGTAGGACTATCAACGAAAGCCGTCGACTAGTTTATGGCACGTAACAGTCGTTGAAAGACTTTATATACCCACGATTCAACGTGAGTCACCGTTAAGTGCGGACGCCCATCGGTATTGATAATTTAGCGGACGGATACCAATTGAATCCCAGCTCTATGTTAACACAATAAAGTCGACATTTGGAAAGCCAGTTGTTTTCTTATTTAATTAATAACAGTTATAAGATTTCGGTAATAATAAAAATGTTTGTTCAGCGAATTCGATAGAATTAATTCGCTGTATTAAGTATAATCTCAGAATTTTGTAAAATCTGTCAGTAGAGTTATAATTATTACATAAGTAAGTAAGTTAAGACAATTTCACAAAATATTACAACTATACTAGATCTTAGCAAGGACTTTTAATCCTGATTTTAGCAAAGATCGAAAGAACAAAGAAATCAATTATTGCGCAACATTTCACAATATATGCAACAATGACGAAATATTGTGCAATAGGTGTAATACAGACATGACTAAAATGTTTCACAATAATAAATTGTAAATTCCAACATCTAGTAAGTAACCTTTTTAAAACATAAAACGATAATTTAAACATAGGCAATGCACTGATAACGGAACAAATTCTATTTGCCTCTAACCCATTTCTTCCCGCGTGTCGCAAGAACTGACTAAGGTACTATGCATATTTTAAGAGACCGGACCACAACGCTATCAAATAAACCTGATCCTTTTATCAAACTGCAGTCTCCAACCTTTCGAACCTTTCGATTTTGACGAACCCCACTTTTAAAAGCCTGCAGGCCAAACCGAATGCCAGGGTTGCGGGGTAAGCGCAATGAGGCACCGCGACCTCGGCCCAGAGCAGGAGAAGGAACGGGGCGGTTTTTAGTCAGTAAGAGTCTCTCCCTCCCACCCGGCCCTGGGCGGGAGAAGATATTTCATGATTTTCCCCTCACAAAGAAAAAGGCCAAACCGAATGAAATTTCACACATTAAAAGCCAAGTTTCAGCACGAATGCATCGGCTTCACCGCAGTGACACCACGACCGCACAAAAAAACCGGCGTGAAGCTACACTTACGTTTTGTTTCGCAGTCAGGAAGCCAATTCGTTAATTTGTTTGCGGCCATATCTCATTAAAAAACAAAGGTAGATTTGAGTCTGGAAACACATAAGGCATATAGTTTATTCCCATTTATGTGGGCGAAGCCGCTGGCGGAAGCTAAATAAATAATGTAAAAAATCGCTGAATTTCGTGCTAAAATTTGCGCTTAGCAAATCTCAAGAAAAGCTAAACCAATTTTGTTGTTAGTTCTTATGGACTAGAGTAGGTAGGGAAAAGTAGGATATAGTAAGGCACACTAAGTCTGCATAGTGTAAAACGGCACATCAAAACTGCGGGAAAAAGCGAGTAAATGGCAAAATTCACATAATATTCAGTGTTCCTGTGTGAAAAATGGGTTCATAGGTGATACATCCATTGTATTACGAAAAATATCGCTAAATTTCTTGCTTATCGCAAATCTCAAGAAAAGCTAAACCAATTTTGTTGTGTTTGTTATTGTTTGTTCTCATGGACTAAAGAGTAGGTCGGGAAAAGTAGGACATAGTAAGGCATACTCAGACTGCATAGTGTAAAATGGCTCAGCAAAACTGCGCAAAATTCACATATCCAGTGTTACTGTGTGAAATATGGGTTCATATGCAATATATCCATTGTATTACGAAACATGATTCATAGAAAAAGTCTGCCAAGAGCCTGTAGGTACTCTACGAGTAGTAGCGGAATATAAATGTGTTTATTTGGAATGATCACTGCTCATATTTTCTTGAACGTTGTCCAGAATTTTGCCAAGTTTTCGTTTCCCGTTTTTGATAATTGTTTTCGTTATGAGTATCTATAAAATATTTTTATAGTGTTTTGGCTATAAATGTTACCGATGAATGGAAAACTACTTAGGCTTGAATCCTAGGCTAGGTAGAAGAGTTCTTTGAGGTATTCGATTAATAGTTTCTGTATTAATAATGTGGAGTATATTTTTATAGTCTTTTGACTGTAAATGTTACTGATTAATGGGAAACTACTTAGGCTTGAATCCTAGGCTAGGTAAAAGAGTTCTTTGAGGTATTCGATTAATAGTTTCTGTATTAATAATGTGGAGTATATTTTTATAGTCTTTTGACTGTAAATGTTACTGATGTGTGACTGTTACTGGTGACGCTTGAATTCTATGTTAGGTAAAAGAGTTCATTGAGGTATTCCATTAATAACTTCTGTGTTATTAATGTGGAGTATGAATTGCACAATCATACTAGAGAACATAACAAAATGGTGCAATGTATTTTTAAAAAACAATAAAAAGGAAGGTATACTTAAATATCCAATCATATTTACTATTTCGTTTTTATGTGTAGAAACATTAATAAAATGCATATCATCATAATATTACCTAGTACGTATTGATAAATTTGTTAATTCAGACAGCCTTATCAGCTGATAGCTACACAGTCTCATTCATTTATGACGTCATTTTGTAAGTACATAGATACGAGTAAACATGGTGTATTTATTTTATATCTACATACAACTAATGCATATGGCTTCGTTCAATTGATAATGACGATAAAGTATTTTTTTTAATGTTGTAGGTTGGCAAACGAGCAACGGATTACCTGATGGTAAGCAATCAGCGCCGCCCGTGGACACTCGCAACGGAGGAGTTACGAGTGCGTTGCCAACTTTTTAAGGATTTGGGATTTGGAGATTTAGGGATTGAGGTGGATTGGGGGAGGGGAAGGATTGGGCCTCCGGTAACCTCAATCACACGGCGAAACACAACGCTGTGGTTGTTTCACGCCGGTTTTCTGTGAGGCCGTGGTATCACTCCGGCCGAGCCCACCCATTCGTGCCGAAGCATGGTTCTCCCAGACTTATTTTCTGATAAATAAGGTACTTTTTTCTGTTCGTAAATAAAACACAAACTATTTCTTTTGACATTATTGATTTAAATTAGAAATCGAATACTTGACGTTTTCCTTAACAATTGCTCAAGATCTCCAATTATTGCGAAATATATTTAACTTAGTAATTTAACGTTTTTGTATATAAACAAAAGTCAATATCTGCTATACCAGACCGTAATTTTGTAAACCATAGGAAAATCTTAAAAAATAGTTTTAACACAAACCAAGTAAGGAATGTACTTACGACAATGTTAAGTTCATTGTGGTTTAATGTTATTTGTCTGCGAAATCTATTGACGGCAAAAAATTTACGCAATTATAGTACGAATGTGGTCGTCGACCTCTTGCGCTTCGCTAAGGTTAAAAAAAGTACATAATTGAACTATGGTGTGTTGTATATAATAATATCTATGTAATATGTTAGATGGTAGCTATGTAAAAATAAACAATTTGATTGGTCTAAAAATAGAAAAGATAATTGTTATTATAAAATTAAAACATTTAAATGAATTAACATAAAATATAAACCGAACATATAATTATAAACGACGAAATAAAAAAAGAAAAATCAACAATTAAAGGTTTTTACTTCCAATATTTTAGTAGATCGACTATTACTTAGGTTATAAGACTTTTTATATTATGAAATCTACTTCTTTTTAACTTATTAATTCAGTAGGTAGCCAGAATTGTCTATGCCACCTACAAGGAGGTAAAATTCACTACATACAGTGTATACAGGTCACATCTATATCGTTCAGAATGAATACTTTTATACCTTATACGAGCATAAAGAAGTGTTTATACTATTATTATATAGTTAATATGGAAAAGGATGATAACAGGGTATGAAAATCAAAATCTATTTAAACTGTCACTTAGAATGTTAAAATTTTAGACACATTTTTTTTATTTGTCACACAGCACAACAAATATACGTTAAAGAGTGAGTCATCTGCGATAGGTCACAATACAGTATAAAAAGTTTATGTATTAATTATTGTAACTTCACAAAAACAAAAAAAGTATAAAATATTTTCATTTGTTTTAAAGCGTTAAATGTATGTATGTCTACAACATTTTTTAGATATTAATTTTGAATATCTTATCCTGTTTCAAATTTTCTTATTGTAAAGTCGAAATCTTATCATGTTCTCAATGAAGTTTGAGATAAAAATATGCGTTCCAAAAGTTATGAGTAGAACTCGTATGATTTCGCGTGACGGATTAAATGCTGCGATAGGAGAAGATAAATGATTTTAGACCGTGTTGTGTCCCATACCGTAAAAAGAACAATTTTATTGGTTACAGTAAGGTTTTCAACTGTTATGTTTCTCTGTATGAACATACTATATACAGTTATGTTTAAATAAAGATTGACTTAGTACAGAACCAGTAGCTATTGTTATTATAGTCAGTAAGAATCTGACACTCCTTCTCGTCCCTTATTGTGTCAGACTCTTATTGACTAAAAACAACCCCGTAGGTACTTCTCATGCTCCAAGCCAAGGCCGCCGTACAATACCGCCAACGTATCTTGGCGAGTCTGAAGTTAGCCGATTAGCGGCGCAGTACACAATTTTGTTCCTAAAAGATCCATTGCGCAGACAAACGGCTAAATTCAGACTCGCCAAGATACATCGGGCGTACTGTAGCTTATTGTACTTCCCCTACAACCTCAGTTGAATTCAGGGTAGCGAGTGTAACCACATATGAAAATTGCTAGATGGTGTGTATTGATGAGTTTGTACACTGCAAATGTGATTGTTAATGTGGGAGAGCCATGCTTCGGTACAAATGGATCGGTTCGACCCGAATGATACCACGGCCTCACAGAAAACCGACGTGAAACAACCACAGCGTTGTGTTTCGCCGTGTGCATAAGGTTACCAAAGGCCCAATTCTTGCCCTCCCCAATCCTCCAAAACCCTAACCCCCAAAAGATCGGATCACTGGTAACTCCTTTGTTGTTGTGGGTGTCCATAGGCGGTGCTGATGGCTTACCACTTGGAAATACGTCAGCTCATTTGCCGACCTATCACATAAAAAAATACCTAAGTATGACATTTGTTTGTGTGTATACGAGTATATATACATGTGTATAGAAGTGTTACAATAGTGTGTATATGTACAGTACCTACATAAACTAACAATCTACACCTCTGCCTAGCTTGACTGGAATATCACAATCATGTCGGTAATAATATCCACCATTGATTGTGTCAGTAACCCACTGCATGCAAATGTTGACAATTCAACACGAAATTAATCCTTTGTTTCGAATTTCTAGTTTCAGTAATAATATGTTTGAAATTCTAGGAATAGAAACTATACTAGATTGTGGGCTGATTTCTGTTTGATTTCGACCAATAAATCACGAGTTAATAGCCATACTCAGCGTCTTTTAATGATGATTATTATTTGACCTAGGGCTATATCTATGTATAGTATTGTTTTTGGTGGGTTGCGGGGGCAAGCAAAAGTGTACCACGGTTCGGCTCGGATCTGAAGAAGGAACGGGGTGGCTTTTAGTTAGTTAAAAATATAACACTCCCTGTCAATTCACATAGAATGGGTGAGGAAAGTCATTTGATAAATTTCCTCCATCAACAAAAATCCTTCTATACAAAATTGTTACTAATGTAATGGTAAATGATTTTTGATATATCATAGCTTTTTCTTACTTACGATTTCAGAGTGTTATTTTTTAGTAACCCTGTTCTTTATTTCGGTACCAAGCCAGTACTTGCTATTTGAATTTAAAGAAATATACTTATTTATATATCTTCTACATACTTATATATCTTCTAATAGTACAAACGTTAATTTGTGTATTTTTTAAATCTTAAATTATGATCCTATTTCATTACGGTATTTTTTAATTTCATAATGTCTTTTTATTAGGTTTCCTTTAGTAGGCGTGATCCATAGTAGGTTATATCCGGGCTATCGTTAGTAGTGTGTGTGAAATTATGATCCTATTTCATTACGGTATTTTTAAATTTCATAATGTCTTTTTATTAGGTTTCTTTTAGTAGGCGTGATCCATAGTAGGTTATATCCAAGCCATCGTTAATAGTGTAAACTTCAGGCGATTGCAACTAAAATGAAAGAGAAAAATAATATCACTAATGTACATTTATGTAAATAAAACACGCTTACCATTTTGATATGCACCGACGTCGTTAAAGAACGTTCCATATTCAAATTTAACTGAAACACAAAGGTTATCCAGACATCGTAAAACAGGCCTTACATAGTACCAAATACGGTATAAGACAAAAATAAACATTGCTATTAATTTTGTTTCAGGCGGAGCTAGTAGCTGTGGAAGGAAAAGAGATTGAAACGCATTACGTGTTGGCTCGAGAAAGGATTCGCCGATGGAATTCAACTTCGAAATGCTACCTTCTTGTCGAAAACTTGCCGACGCCCTTGCAGGTATTGTCTTCCTCATTTTATTTTCTTGTGTAATTTAAAAAAATAATTCGTTGAATGTCACGTATTTTTTTTTTCTTTTAATAGGTACGGATTTAAAAATTGTTGAATGTGTTCCATATCGATTTGAAATATTGTGACGTCACTATTTAAGCGGCTAAGCGGTTAACTAGCAACATTCTAATTCTAAACTAAATCGCTTTACGTAAGATTTATTTTCTAAATGTTGTTCTAAATATATTTTTTAAATTGGATACGTTGTCAACATTACTTTTTACGGTATTGTGTTCTTGTTTTTTTTTTTAAGAATCTCCAAGACTTCAAATTTAAACCTCATTCGAAAAATCTATTTACCTATAGTTTTTTTTTCATTTATCGAATCAACTGCTGAACCTAATTGGTTTCTGAACCACTACATCAATAATTTATTTGGTGTTAATAAAGCTCAGTTTAGTTTTGAAGTTCAGTAGGAATTCCATAGTTAATGTTAGTGTACTCAGTTAATAGTTGTTGATGCGTTCAGTTTGCAGTTTCGGTTTAAATTATTAACGATGTTTTAGCAACACAAAACCAACCTGTTTGTGTTTAGCAATAACTTTTGTTGTATCGCGTCTATTTCTAGGGAATGTTGTAAGTAGGGTATCAATATCGCTTTATGCATCTATAATGTTTGTTTAAATATAGGTATTTACTCTAAAAAAATGTCCGCCGTTTATCTAAACCTTTCAATCGTAGTGGTTAGAAACAGAATTTGGTGAATTTGGTGAATTACGTAAATGACACGCCTAGAGTTTATTAATTAAAACTTTTCTTCTGTGATAGGTCTGCAGATGAGCAGACGAATCATTTGTAGACAATCAGCGCCGCCTGCAACACTAAAGAAATAACAACTGAGTTGCCGGTTTTTTGTAGGACTGAAATTAAGGGGGAGGGGAGTGTTGTTATAACATTGAATGTTAGGTATCTCACACGGCGAAACACAAAACAAACTTCGTTATTCAATGAGAACGCCATCTTTTGTTCTTCAATTCAATCTCTATGACTACCATTATTGAAAAAAATTAATACAAAATAAAATAGGATGAGCAATCTATACTAATATTATAGAGAGGCAAAATTTGTAAGTTTGTATGAAGAAGGTAATCTTTGGACCCGGTGGTCAGATTGCCAAAATTCTTTCACTGATAGACAGCTACAATGTTCCTGAGCAGCGGGTGAAATCGTGCGAGAGTAACTAGTATTATATACATATGTACCACGAAAAGTCGTGGTGGCCCGGAGGTTAAGGCGCCCGCTTCTCATGCATGAGGGTGCGGGTTCGAAACCTGGCAAGTACCAATGTGACTTTTTCCGAGTTATATGTACTTTCTATGATTATTTAGACACCACTGACATACGGTGAAGGTAAACATCGTGAGGAAACCTGGACTTTATAATTTCTAATTATAAGTTTGAAATCACCAACCCGCATTGAGCAAGCGTGGTGATTAATGCTCTAACCTTCTCCGTGTGAGAAGAGGCCTTTGCTCAGCAGTGGGCACTTATAGGCTGATGATGATGATGATGATGATGATGTACCTAGGTTTAAATCATTAATTTTAACAAGATCCCATTTTAACACGACAAAACGTGACCATTAATTCCATCAGGCGGGTGGCATAGCGAGTGCAAGCGTGTGGTCTTCATGCGGTTGCCGTCAGCGGTTGTTGGCTGCCGTCACGAGTGGTGGACGGGCCGTGCACTGGGCAGCTGTACCCGCTCCGCCGGCCAACGACTCGGATCTCTGCCGGTTTAATTACACGTGAGTAATTTCCCTGATAAACGTTGTTGGACTTCATTGTAACTGCTTTAAGTTTTATAGCCGTGGATCTTGGACTACTACAAGTTTATAGACGAAACAGCTTTTTGTTTACACTTGTATTTTAAATATCGAACCTCGCTTTTTTTGTAAGGGGAAAACCATCTCATGGCTTCTCAAGCCCAGGGTCGGACGGGAGGGAGTGTCAGACTCTTACTGACTAAAAACTCCCCGTTCCTTCTCCTGCTCTGGGCCGAGGTCACAACCACGCTGACGTTATTGTATTAGTTGATTGTCAAAATTAATTACCTCGTGGACTTCATTTAAGAAAAGTTTTTTTTTATGTGACGAGGGTAAACGTTCAGTTGGAAAGCAATCATTGCCACCCATGGACACGCGCAACAATGAAGGAGTTACGAGTACGGTGCTGACTTTTTGGGGATTAGGGTTTTGGAGATTTAACGATTGAGGGGCACTCCGTTGTAGTTCACGCCGGTTTTCTATGAAGTCGCGGTATCACTCCGGTCGAACCAACTATTCGTGTCGTATCATGATTCTCCTACTCTTAGATTATAAATAAAAGTAGGTACTTCTGGCGATCTAAACAGATCTTTCAAGGAACAAAAACAAATGAGTTTTCGGAACAACAGTCGAAATTGGAGATTGTACATTTAATGCGTATCGTAGGAAATAAAACCGAGTTTATAGGTTATTCCGTTTTTACGATTACGTTGTAAAGGATTTCAGACGCATTGGAATTGAAAGTTAAACGCGAAATAATCCTTATTTTAATTTCGATTCGTAATAAATGAAATACGAACTGTTAATACGTCGTTGATTTTTACACGGAAATACTTTTTTGATCCACAGTTTTTTGCCTCAAGTCTGAATGTGCAATTTGCAAAAAAATTTAAACACATTAACGATTTAAAAGTTGATAGTAAGAAAAGTTTCATTCTTTAATAAAATGAAAATAGGAAATAAGACAAACTATGCCAAGGACCTAGAAAACCATTATTTTGTCATACATCAAAAACCAATCGAACTTTAGGACAAGAGGTAATCGTAGACCTATAAAAGAATCATGACTATTTTTGACCTGAAAAAATTCTAACGCGTCTTGTGATGAAATATATCTTAAAAAAATGTAATTTGTTTGTTTATTTCGTACCGTTTAATCGAATTTTTAAATAAAGCCAGGAAAAAAGACAATGTTATTATGTTTATCATGGTGAATTTCAGCCAAAAGCCAGTGCATCAAATACACAGACATTTGAAAACGAAACGGTCCGTTCCGTTTCACAGATAATGAAAAACTTGTTCATTTGTGCTGCAGTGAAAGTTCAAAATAAATAATTGGTATCTCTTTACTTTCTTTCTTAACTAACAATAGTTAATATAAATCAAAGATATTTATAAGAATAGCATGAAAGTAGCCACGATTTTTTTATGGTTTTGAAAATAAGTTTGCATTTGCGTAAAATGAACTACTTTACTACTACTTCATAATATGGTGAACACGTACGTTACCATGGCGGATACAGAATAGAAGTTTGTTCATTGAATAAATAATATTAAGTCACATCCTGTTTTTTATTTTACTTCCCAGTTCTCACCACTAACATGTAGGCAACTCTTTACGTTATCTATTTAAGTTGTAATGGCCAACAGAGGTCCCCTTGTTTGTCCATCACACTTGAACATGATGGCTAAAAGAATCGCCTATCAAGGTGACTCCTGGAATCTGGTCTGTTTCGACGATAGATTTTAACCGATACTTCATTGAACTTGCTCTAACTTGCTTGATGTAGTGTAGAAAACAAGCATATTAACATAACATCACAATCAGATGTGAAGTTCTTAGTTCTTTCTACTCAACTCAGCATCAATTGCATATTACGAGAATATAACTGCAGTTTGGAGTCGCATGCTGTTTTGATGTTGATATTACGTTGAAGAGGGATTTATTTCTGAGTGATTGTAACTCTCTCAGTATTAAAGAAACAATTGATTTCAACTAGCGTATCGTACATCGTACAGTTTTGAGGTTGTAGTATTATCAGCTGTCAAACCTTATCTGACAGCTGTTATAACCTCAAAAACTTATTTACTCAATTACATTTTTCCCTGGCGTCTAAATGAAAATATTATATGTGATTGAGTTATAATAAACAATAATTATTTTAATACAACACGAGTTGTAACTAGACGCGACCTGTGAAAAAATCAAGTGACAGGTCAATCAATGTATGGAAGGTGGTCATGATTCTTTATGAAAAAACACCATCGACAAATCCTAATCAACTAATTTCTTCGGTACCTAATGTTAATAAGTTAACAGTTATAGGCAATAGGTATTTTCAAATCAGTGTTTTATTCTACAAACAAATCCATTTTAGTTCCCATAAAATCCATCTCAGCAACAACAGTTAAATGTCCTTACCGTAATAACTTATCTATAAACATTTAATTCGCGTGGCTTTCGATAATTAGCCACACAAAAATCCATTAAAAACATTATGACCGCCATTAAAAAGGACTGATAAAGTTCGGGCAATTAAGGAGATGAAGAGTTTTCTCGATGACTTTAATTATGCGAATGAAATAGGTTAAGTATTTACTGGAGTCAGTATTTGGGCTAAAAAGTTGAGAGCCTTATTCATCCTATTATTACTATAAATGCAAAAGTTTTTTAGTATGAGTTTGATAGATGGATAAAAGGATGGATGAATGGCACTGTTACATGTCCATGGGCTTGTTGCCATTAGGTATTTCGTCTGCTCATTTTCCGTCCAATGTCATACTAGATAAATTAAGCACAAAAAATACCCTCACACATAAAACATAAGCTACCTTTAAAAAGTATATAATACAAAAAAACTTAATTGAAATCGTTTTATCCGTTCAGGAGATATGATGCCACAGACACACAGACAGACACGTCAAACTTATTAAAGTTTTTGTTTTTTGTGACGTACAAGTCATAACCTTTCATTTGATACCCCACTTGAGCATATTTGCAGACATATGGCTTTTCTTCCCCACTTTAACCCCTCATAACTTTTAAAAGGCTCAATCGATTTTCATCAAAGATGTCTAAGAACACTCCCCCGTGAAACACCTGTAATATAAAAAACTAAATTGAAATCGGTTCATTCATTCAGGAGCTATGATGCCACAGACAGACGCGTTAAACTTATAACACTCCTCTTTTTGCGTCGGGGGTTAAAAAAAACGGAATGTTGGGGGTTATGAAAATAACGGTTTCACAACGGTTATTGTCATGTCATATCACACCATGAGATAATACGTACTACATTCTAATTAATTAGACTTACGAATACGTAATTATTACGTTTGTCGTAAAGGTAGAATGTACTTACAACTCCAAAATTATAAATCTTCATTTTACACCTATCTCAATGTTCAGACACCGTGTCCAATTGATTTAAACATTAAACGTATTTTTATAATAGACGATCTCGAGAATTGAACTCAGTGTTTTCAGTGTAATGACATTAGAAATACAATAAAAACAACGTCCAAGAGGACGGTTATTCTCTGTGATTTATATGCATTTTGGGAATCGTCCCGGCAGGATATTTAAATGTTGACCCGGTTTTTTTAAGTAGCTAAAAGCGAAATAAGGTTTTATTTGAATACGGACATTTTGTGCCAGTTCGTGCGGTATTTTATTTTAAAAAGCTGTCTTTTAAGATTTTAATGACAATTATTTTGTTGTTTGGCTTTTTAAACAAGGTCTTCTTAAACAATCAATTTTTAATTTTGCTCTATTTACCAAAACAAAATTTGTGTAAACTATTTTCGACTTTATTCTATATTTATTACCTGCCACTATTGCATGGATTGTTATTCAACTTATCAATTTTTGCTTTTACATTTTGGTGCCTTGCACTTATCCTATAGCAAATACATCAGAAAGAAAACAAATTTTCTTGCTGCTACTATTGAAAAATCAGCAATCCATCGAGAAAATTTACGCAGCATTTTTGTTCTCTAGCAATAATTGCAACAAAGGATTTTTTTTTTTCATGTAATAAATTTACATTCCAATGTTCAAATATTAACATTTACGCCACAAATAAAACCGTTCAGAATACTGCTTAATAACTTAATGTGTCATAATAAATACACACGAAATTCCGAGAACAATTCACTCAAAGCGCGCGGAAATAAATGGATGTTTTCGGCGATATAAAAAATAAAAGCGAACGAATGAATGAATGAATAAAAAATATCGTTCAATGTGTCCGTGTTGGGATGGAAACAAGATTATGCCTGTTTTGATGAATGAGCCTCTAGGGTCAGACGAACATTGTAGCAATTTTGCCACGTATAATTTATATACATATTATAATGTACTTAAATTTACATAAAAATTAAGACTGATTGCCTGTACTGTAATGTGAGTTTAAATTATTTGGTTTAGAGTTCATTATCGTATAACGCTATTACTCCTTTGTTTGTGTGGTACGTAATTTTGGTTGAATTTAATTTTTTATCCTAAATTGTTTGTAATTACAAAAAGGTTAAACTGAAATAATGTGAACAATTATTTGGAAACAGTATTATTTTTCTTTAGTAGGTTCTAAATAAAATTCCTATAAGAGAGAGGTTTAGATACTAAATAATGTAAATAAAAAAGTTTTTGTAAAAAAATAAATACGATATTTAAATTCTTACACTATGTATATTTCAACTTTATTATTTGTTACCGCAGCCATTTAGTTTAATTAGCCATTCAACTTACGGCATGAATAACTATACTCGGAATTTTAATTCCATTCCAGATTTGACAATTTCAGTGTTGCAACGTTATGACACGTAATAAATAGTAACGTTACGAAATTATTCGATATGGAAATCGAATATTTCTGAATCGATTCGTCTCGTTTATAAATTTACTCTCGTAAACTAAGTTTATCAGGAAATAAAATATTTCTGAACCGATAATTTAGTTTTGACAATTAATTAACGATCTG